AGGTGCAGAAAAAATGGACCATCAAGAAACATAATAAAGCAAGTTGAAAATAGAGCAGGAAGTAATCGTGTATTATGATGGTTACCTCTGCTTCCCAAAGGCGATCCAGCCTCCTACGATACTCCTCTAGCTTATGCGCTCCTAGGTTGTCACATGTTGTTTCACCAAGCCACATATTAATTTGGAAAAGTCCACAATGTTAATAAATACTAAAAATTTCGTTATAAAATACTGAATTAGTAAAAAAAAAAAGGCGAGAACTATGAGTGGGATAGAAATTGTTTACCTACAACCATAAGCTTCATGTCATAGGGGATGGTCGGGTCCCCATTCCTTGTCGGGGTCTACCTTCGGCGCAATCAATGGGAAATGCTCCCAAGCCCAAAATTGGACGATGAACATGGCCCCATCAATCTCCTTCACCGCTCTCGAACTAGCATTACAGAGGGAGCGGTAGAGATGAGCTAGGCAAGCAGTGTGTATCCTTTCTGCATCTCTCTACCAATGCTGTGATGAGTTGGCAGTCGATCTTTGACATGGTAAAACACAACAACAAACTGCGACCAAGTGTAATCGCAGTCCAGAAATGCAGAAAAGTGGCAAGTTCAATTTATCAACCCGGGGTCTAGATGTACTGCCTACTCCGTGACTATCTATTATCTAGCGAGACTAAGTTGAGTGAATGTGATTTTAAGCTAAAGCAGTAAGAAAACTGGAAATGGTTCGAAGTTCATAAGCAGGGGAAGAGTCACTCGGAAATGAGTCCCCCTAGCTGCTTAGTTAGGTCAAAGTTGTAATTACCTTTGGTTGATTTACTGTTGATTAAACTGCGGAAGATCCGACAGTAGCTTGGAATCTCTTAAGCTGACCAAGCCCTCTCAGACAGACTACGCGGCAAACGACTAGGCTTCACCGGGATAGAACGTTGAGGCAATTAACACAGAGCTCCACTACTGGAATTGGATTCCAGTACAAAGGAGTGAATCGATTAACTCTCGTATAATCGATTCACTACTACCGATTGAAGAAGCTCTAACAACCTAATCAGATTCTATCTATCTCAAGTTGCAACATAAATCAATAAAAGATGATCAGGCTTCAATTGACTCAATCAAAACACTTCAATCGATTATAATCAAGCAGTATCACAATCCAAACGTCATTACAATCGATATCCCTAACACATGGAACTAGGGTTCTTCATACCTAAATGAGAGAGGGTTCTACTCCAGAGAGAGAGAGGAAAACAGAATACAAAGCAGCCATACTCGTCAAGATGGGAAGAATCTGCTCTGGGATGATAATCTTCACTCCAATGATGAAATCCCAACTTGATTGATGAAACCCAGCTCCAAAATCACCTCTAGGGTGTGTTCTCCGCACTCTCTCTCTAGGACTCTGTTTCTAGCTCTGAAAATCGATCCCCCATTCAAAAGACCCGAAATTGGGTTAGAACCCAGAATTCCGCGACTATACGGCAAGGCCACACGGCCGTGTAGAATTGCCAGCTGCCCATGTGGAAGTATAAAACGCCGCGTTTCACTTAAGTGCCTTCATGCACGCTACACGACGAGAACCGCACGGTAGTGTGAAATCTTGGTCTGCCCGTGTGAGCTCCTAGGGAATTCCACACAGCCACAAAGGACCCTTTACTCGGCCAGTGTGGTTTGCCAGCGCAATGGGGTTCCACACGGCCACATTCACACGGTTGTGTGGTATTTAGGCCTGGCCATGTGGTTTCCCAAGTTTTTCATCAATCGTTCTAACTTAGTCCAATCGACCCCGAACTCGTGCCCGTACCTTCCTTCACATACTAGGACCTGAAATATCACAAACAAGAACAACCTAGCATGAAATTGGCCTAAAACACGAGAGATGAGACTCAAACGGTAGAGGAATGGTGGACAAAAACATGTGTATATATCAAGTCATCAAATTTCCCCACACTTAATCATTTGCTTGTCCCCAAGCAAACTTGACTCAAACCAATGCAGCTCTCCAGACCTCTATAGCAACATGCAACCCCGATCGTCAGTAGAGGATTTTCTAGATCATTTAGCAACTTAGGAGGTCAACTGGTCTTCTAAGACGCCCCCTATCTCTCTCAATGTGAGTACTAGACTCAACCCAGGATCATGAAGTGGAACTAAGACAGCCAATTCATGGATAAGGAGACTCACACAATTCAACAACCGAGGACTCATTGTATCAGGTGCTCTTCTATTTCATTTCACTTGTTGGAACCCCTTCTTCTTTCTATTTGTTTTTCTTTTTTACTTTGCTGGGGTTCCAACTGCAGTTTGTATACGCGGTCTGCCCTTATTAGGTGAGCAAGAGCAATTTCTGTACATCTGTCGCTCGCTAGAGTACTTCTTTTAACTCCTATTCCTCATTTCGTGTGAAGGGTCAATGAAATTAAGGGGGTCGGAAGCTCTATCAGTGCCCTTAAAAAACATCCTCAAGTAGGCAAACTGTTAAACGGGTGGAAATTTTACTTGTACTAGAGACAACTTAGCTTCACCTTGTAGGCCTACCCCACCAAGGATCACTAAAATCTCTTCCAAAACCCGATTTTGTGCAATGAATGGTGCACACACGTTGGGCTTACCCCATGTCATAAGATTTCAAAGTTGTTGAAATGGAGGACCAAGTGCCTTTTCATTTCACATATGAGCACCCTTTTTCGATACACGAGTCCACACACAACATAAGAGGAGTCATCAATACCACATGAATTAACGGTCCTAAATCCACTAGTTCACAAAATCAACCGGCACAACAGAGAGACAAATAGGAAAAATCTTATACTTCAACATCCTCCATAGTGCTACAACTACCTCCCTAGGATGCATATCACCATAAAGACTGTCAATTCAAAGCATACTGAGCAGGATTTTGCGGGGAACGGTACCTGGAGCCCTCAATTCATGAGCTGGAGCAGGTGTTGCTGGACCTCCTGCATACGACGAGCCTGGCCACGCTCCCTCTCAATGTGAGCAAGGGTGACCTCCTGCTGGGCCTCCATGCGGTCGAGGCGCTCATCATATGCAGCCATCCGGGTGTTCTACTCAGCCTGGTGGGCCGAGTATTATTGCTGGAACTGGAGATGATGCTCGAGGAGCTGTTGATTCTGAATATTCAGCACCTGGAACTGGTGAGAGAAGTAGTCGTGGGGTGGAAACGTAGAGCTACCACCTTCATGCTCATAGGTGCTCTGGTGGGGGCGGGGTGGTCGGGAGAAGCGTCCACATCCTAGGGGTTAACATCCTCGGGGGCAGCATCCTCAGGGACTACGGTCTGATCCTCCGCAGGGATGGGGGGGACAAGAAAGCCCTCAACCCATTTGACACCGCGGGAGACTCTCAACAGGTGCATCTTCGAGATCGTCTCTTCTCCGAACCACCAGGTGCCCCCTGCTCGGTGCAATCCTGATAGGGGGTATGGAAATAGTCGGCCAGTCGGTGATGAGTGGGGTGCAGTGGAGGGTCCCCAGAGTCTGAGCACTCTTGTCCATAGTCCTCGCCACCACAGATCCCAGGTGGAGAGCATGGTTCTCAGTGCGGATCGAGTGGATGAAGTACAGGGACCGCCTGGTCAGGGTGCTGGTACTTTCTCCAGCTGAAGTGAAGGACTTCGCGAGCAAGTGGTGGAGCAGGCGATTCTCGAGCTGTAGAGTGCTAGCCTTCGTCCGCCCCGCAGTGAAGGGGTTCTGAGCAGGCTGAGCTAGCCGGGTGGACTCATTAAGTTTATTTGACGAGCCGAGCTCGAACCGAGCTCGAGCTTTCATTTTCATAAACGAGCCGATTTTGAGCTTGCATATTAAAGCTCGTGAGAACACGAGCCGAGCTCGAGGTTGAAAATATATAAACGAGACGTGCCCAAACTATGACAAAGCTCGGCTCGGATCATTAACAACACTAGAAGTTGAGTTAGGATAGAATATATAGAATAATCATGTGTGGTATATTTTTTTCCCAAAATTATTCTGGAGCAATCTTAATTGTGAGATTTAAAAAAAGAAAAAATAAATAAAAAAATAAGTGGTGGATACTAATGTAGCCACGGTGGCTACTAGAATTCTAGTTACTACCATAACACATTTCGAATTATACATATGCATACATATTTCACTTTAAAAAGTTATCATTAATTTTCTCAATGTATTTAGTATTTAATATATTTATATAATAATTTCATAAAATTATATTTTACTAATTTTTTCATTCCAGTAATTTATTGTTGTACTGCCCTGAAATCTAAAAGCTAGATTGGCAATCAAAATAGTTTGGGGCGGGGAAAGTTAATCTGCCAACTTGAAAATTCGTTAGCAGATACCAACTGATATCCAAAATACATGAATTAATATCCAAGTACTAAAGTATCTAGAGAGTATAGAATAGTATTCAAAGTTTACTAACTGATATCCACCATGAATCAACTATTATCCCAAATTCACAAACTAATATCTAGGCAACACATAATAGTATCCAAACACATATTTAGTATCCAGATAACACATAAGAGTACCCAGATAACACATAAGAGTATCCATATTGAATACTAGTTTGTTGATTGTGTATATTAGTTGGTATCTGTATAATAGTTTGTGATGTTTTGAATATTAGTTTTTGCTATCTAGATAGGTAGCAGGCTTGGATATTAGTTCATACATTTTGGATATTAGTTAGCATATACTAACGAATCTTCAAGTTAGCAGAATAACTAGACTGGTTTTGGGCTCGCCGAGTACTTCCTGATTGTGAATAGCCTAGAACTTTCCATAGATATATATACAGAAAACGGGGAATACTACACCCGTTAAGCTCAAAATTAACGGCCCTCTACATTTTTCAAAGGACGGAAAATATGTGAATTGATTATGTAGTGGGATTAGGATATGCATTGCAGTCTGATCTGCTATGTTGAGTAGCTTGCATAATAGAAAAGCTTAACGAACTATAACGAGAAGGGATAGTCGCACTAATTTTCACACTAATATATGTTGGTATACTTCGATATACATGACATACTACAATGTGAGGAACAATGAGTACAATTGATAAATGCGTACCACTTAGCTTCTAAACCATGCGGAGTCCGCGGTGGAGACTGGAGACAAAAGTCACTTGGCCTTAATGTCCGAATCAACTACAAAGAAAACACTGTTACACTTCATTCCTGGAGCATCGCCTTCAAACAAAAATCTCGATCACATTATTTGGTGAATGTTAGCTTGCTTGCGGAGCCACTGCTAATCCTCATCAGAGGGCTCGTCGCCACCCACATCTACATCTTCGCTCATTCCCTGATGTTTTCATATCGAAACCACACCCCCAGAATCAATCATCAATTAATGAAAGTTTTGAAAGCAAAGGGGAAGAGTAATTGGAAGTCATACCTTATACTTCCTGGTCTCCATCATAAATTGACGAGCAAGATTCTGGGTTGGGGGGGTTGCCTCATATGGCTGTAAGACTCTGCTCTCGGCTAGTGGATCCCCAGGTACTATAGCCCAGTGATCAAATGCAATGAGAACAGATACTCGGCGCTTTGTAGGGACCTCTAAGAGCATCTGTAGCATGTATGACTATGTCCCTCGTAAAAATGCCTGAAACCATATTTCACAAAGAAAGGAATGAACAAGGGGAAACCACTGTGCATATGGCCGATTAAGTGTGTACTACCAGGAGAAAGAGAAACTGAAAGAGCTAGAAAGAAGAAGGATACATGATCTGGACAGTCAAATTTACAGTAAATCTGGAAGAAAGCCTGTAGCATCCTGGCTTCCGAGCAACCAACCAAACAGATCTTAAATTAAGGACCAACCCATGGACGAGCAGCTCAATCACAAGAACAAATAGCAATATCTGTAATTTTCAGGGGGTCCTTTGGCCCCAACCTGCAACCCACCCGGTTATGCACTCTTTCCTATTAGCCTTCTAACGGCATAATTATTACAGATTCTACTCCCCTTCTACCCTTTAAGGCACAAGCTTTACAAGCCAATTTTTATAAAAAAATGTCAAAGAAATGAACCTACCCCGTGCGGTGCAGCCCATATAACGAAGCCACAATATTACATAGTCATTTACAAGCTGTCATACTTTCACTGATGTTAATTGCACCAGGCAAAGTAAGCACATTAGTCCAGTATGCTTATATCCTAGGGATCACGCGTACCAGGCCTTAGGCAGATTGCCATTGCCATGAGAAACAGTCTAGAGAAGCTTTTTAGCTTGGAATAAAGAAAAAGGGATTGGTCTAGTGATATCGGGAATATAAGTAGGGAATAAGAATATTTTTTTTCTTACTGAAAAAACCTATCCAAGGATGGAGCTAGGTATCAGGTCTCAAATGCTGCGAGTTCAAGCAAGCAGAATGCTAGTGATTCCGAGCTTTCCAGTACTTAGTAGTGTCGCTTAACTATCGGACTTTCATCAATGTTTCATGGGTATGTTCTTCTGCCATTATATCTTCCAAAATTTCATTTCCGAAAATTTCCTATGAGCAACTGCAATTTCTCAACTCCAATAACCTAAACTTCTAAACTCATTGACCTGTTTTCACAATCAACCCTAGCCATATTACTCACATTCTGGTAATATGCCGAAGTTAAAGGCAGCCTACCACTTCTGCACGACATTTTAGCATTTGATGCCAAATCAAACTGTAATATGCTCCGTCCATTTACTTTTGACAATACACTTAGAACTATTAACTGCTTGACCAACTCCGGGACATAAAAGAAACCAGAACTCATCATTCATATAAGTTAACAGAAACCGCTCGTAAATCTAAGTCAAGGAAACAAACCTTAAGAACATAACCTCGAGGTCCAAGGAGAATAACATCTGTTATTTTATCTATATGTCGACGTGACAATACCTCACGAACTTTGGGTAGGTCGTCCACTGGTGTATGTATCTGAAAAATAAAATAACCAAAAGGTCAGTTCTAGAAGAACGTTAGCAGGGCGGTGAAACATAAGACATTCAAACAGTTTAATTAAAGTGGTGGCTATAAAATTTCGCAGCATTTTGACCCATCGCTACATCCAAAATACTATTCCTACGACAACATTGCATACTCATCTATCAATTAAGTAACAAGTTTATTGTGGCAGCGAATAGCAAGAAAGTACCTCCACGTAATACACAGGTTCCATAAGTCGAGGAGCTGCCATAAGAAATGCTGAATGTGCCACTCTCCTAGTTGTGGGAGCAATCCCCTCCGGCCACCCATGCGACAGTTCAGATGCAAATATTGCATCAACTATTTTGAATTTTACATTCCTCATTGGCTCATCACAGAGTGGTCCTTGTCGTGCAGCCCATTGAAAACTGTCAAAAACATGAAACTCTTTACTCTGAACAGCTATAAAGCTCAAACAAATGCCAAAAGAAATAAAAGAGAAATAAACAATTTTAGTTTACCCGTGGACAATATAATCCCTAACAGCACGAAGCAATCCCTTGTCAACTTCAGTAGAAAGAGTGCCATCCAGCAAAACATTAGGTCCCTGAGGAATTTAAGCTCACAATGAGACAAGAATTCAACTAGGGTATTCAATAAACATGACAACCGAGTCATGATGCAGAATACAATGTGGAGGAAAGGAAATGAATGTATAGAAGAGCATCAGGCATTTCATTTACATGCTCATCAGGACCAAATGCCCATACAGATTGACCATCAAGCAAATCCCATTTATGCATTCTTTTGAAAAATTCATCAACAGCTTTGCTCGTCCAGTCAGTGCTCACAGCAACATTCTCAATGTCTTCTGCAAGACCTTTCTCCAAAGGCTCAGCAATCTGGTGAGAAAAGTTTAAAAAATTATCTACAGTGGTGTCACCTAAATCAATAAAGCATCAGTAGGAATGATCAGTGAATATTAGAGAGTAGAAAGAAAGACTAAGGAAGGGCAGTGTTATCAACCGTAGTATCATATGATTCAAAATATGAGGTTAACCACACCAAAAATAACGGGGTTAAGCAATTTACCATTGTTATTTTGTTTCTCTTGGGTGTTTTAGCAGAACACTTCATTGAAGAAGATTCCACCACAGTTTCACGGAATAAGACCGCTGGAACTGAATCCTGCACATGAAATTTAGAAGCAAAAGCAACAAAGGAGTCAGAAATGCTAGCATGCAAGGAGAAACAGAAAGCACATATGAGAAACAGTAACAAGAAGAGTACTAACACACCTTGATTTCTACTCCAGAATCAGAACAGAACTCGGAAAGGTCTTTGATAATTCTATTCATCTGAAATTCTCCAGTACCAAGAATCATATGAAGTGCAGACTCCTCCACTTTAATATTGGCATGAGGATAGGTTCTGCTGATATAACGAAGACCCTCCAACACTATTGGCAACCCAGTTGGATGTGAAGGCTCGGCAGAAACTCTCATCAATGGAAGGGTATTGAACTGTAGCGGCTGGAACAGATATGCATCTTCAACATTATATTTACTACCATGGTATACATCATATTTACTGTTGCATAATGTAGCAGTTTTTGTAATTCCTGCATCTATACCTTCGATAAGAACCCAAGAGCCAGGTCCTGCAGTGCTTATGGCCAATCTATATCGACCCTGATACACCCACAGGTTTGTAACTTCTTTCACTGGAGTGTCGTCATATTCCTCCACCGTATAAGCTTCCTGCAATATTTTCACGGACTGCCCAGTCTTAAGTGTACCGCTATAGACTCTACCAAAAGCATCCAAGGCGCTCCAATCAGACTTGGGATAGAATTTGACGACATCGATCATGAGCGGCCCAGAGGAGGTACATTGTTTCATTGCTTCATAAAGCTTAGAGTCTTTAGGCCCTGTGTATATGTGTTCGACCTTCCAACCAGCTGCATCCTTAGCAGAAGGTATATGTTGAACCAACATATCAGTGAACCCAGAAGCAGTACCAAAAACGTTGCTACAGGCCAACCTCAGCAAAGGCCAAGCCTTCATTGTATAAGCAGCATTGTGAAGTCTCACACCAAACCCTGCCAGAATAGCTTCCATGCTCTTCTTAGGCTCTCCGATCATTGGGCAATAAACAGCATTAGAAAGATTCACAGCATCGTCATCCAAGATAGTTTTCAAGATCTTTGTCTGTTCTCCAATCACTAGACTGTATATTCTATAGAGAGGTTCGAGAACAAATTCAACAAAAGATCTTTCACCCCCAGTAGCAGGGCGGTCCTGCTGGAAAGTCCTTGACTATGGGTGATAATAGTTATCCCCCCACAAGCTAGATGCAAACTCATTCAGTCCGAATGGGATATCGTGATGTTTGAGATACAGCCTAGCAAATGATTGCAACGTGAATGACCATCTAGTAACTGAACTTGCAAAGCAAACATTCCCAACAGTAGGATCTATAGTAGTGACATTCTGTGCAGCTGATGAGACAGCAGAGATATGGTCGTTGATGATCTTAATAGTATCTCTCAACTTGTTGTAAGCAACCTCAGGGCGCAAATTAAGTTCTGTTATCAGCTTGTCCACCTTCCCAAAAAAAAAATATTATAACTAACACCTTGAAACACACAAAAAAATCGAGAAAGCACAAGAAGACATTCAGCTCAAGAAAGCACCTTGGTTATGACGACTACAATAGGCAGGTTTTCCTGGATTGCATGCTGAATCGCTCTCTCTGTATTTAGCTGTACATCACATAAGTTCATAGCAAGAATATTTCAGCTCATAAACACTGCAAATGTACATCACATAAGTTCATACTCCATCACATACACTTGCTTCAATCAATCAAATATGCACAAGCCTAACAAACTACCTTTCAATCAGTTATTCATACAGCTTAGAAATATATACAGAAAAATGACGATATCTCTACTAAACTAGAATTTCGAAGACTCACCATCACTCCTTCGGAAGGATCCACCACCAAGACTGCACCGTCAGAAAGCCGCAGAGCAGCCGTCATTTCATCGGACAAGTCAAGATGGCCAGGAGCGTCCATAATGTTGCAGAGGATATGATTCGAACTGCTATCCTCAAGCGCTAGAGACATTGGTACTGCTTTGATGGATCGACGAAGAGTTTGCTCATCTGACCTAGTATCCGTATACCTCATATACTCTGAACTCTCCAGAGGAGATATCTGATGTGTTTGCTCAACAAGCAAGTCCATGAAACTCGTCTTTCCGTGATGGATGTGGCCAACAAGAGCAACATTACGGACACGGGCTGGATTGGACATCAGATCGACAAGATCTCGACGGGAAGCGTAAGAGTGAATTTCTTCCTCATCGGGCTCAATTTCTGGACCAACGTAATTCCCGAACTCATCATATTCATCGTCGCTCATCTTTCAAGGTTGCTGCTCGACGACGACTCGGGCGACGGGAGATGGCGGGAGGCCGGCGGTTGGAGTCGGAACTGGAAAGTAGGGTTTCAGTTGTGTCTCGCACGGAAGAGAATTGAGAGACGGAAGAAGAAGGAGATGGAGAACATAGGGAAGCGAATTGAGAGACGGAAGTAGAAGCAGGAGAATAGAGGGAAGAGAATTGAGAGACGGAATTAAGATGGAAAAAGTGAGGTAAGAGAAATGGGCGGGAAAAGAGTCTGTTGTTCTATTCATAATCCCGTTTCTGGCTTCAAGGCAGAGCTGCCGCACTGAGGGTCAATGAAGCTCGGAATCGTGGATTGAGAGCCTGACCGTGGAAATTGACTGTGAATCCCTGGTTTCCAAACTGAGAAAGGAAAGAATGATCGAACAAAAGTTGCAGTCCTCTCACTGAGATGACTCTTTGGAGGAGATGGCAAATGCCCGAGAAACGGGTTGCAAAGTGGGCTTTTTCACCGAGGCCTTTCAACTCAGTGGCCCATGTTTTTGCTGATATTCGTATACCATGGAACAAACTGTCTGTTGGGCTGAAATGCCTACCATTTCTTTTAATTTTTGCTTCGAGTAATATGCGGTATAGACTTTATTTGAGTTTAAACCTGTTACACGTATACGAGTGTCATGGATACCTGCTCTGTATTTTAATAATTTTTGTGAATTATGCTACTGATGACTACCATTATTTGCTCATTTCACTTGCTATTCTATTTGCATATGGCTTGAAAACATTTAATAGACTCATGACTTATGTCTGCGTTATCGATATATTTAATATTCTAAACAATATCTCTTCCTTAATAAACTAATCTTTCTTATGTTTGTGGAGACTTGTCTAATTTGTTCTTCCTAATTGTGTAGAATGAAGTTGATATTATGAAGTGTAGAATGAAGAAGGTTATGCCTTGTTTGATAACTCTGATTCTAAACATTATATTCTGAGTATACATGTTTTCTACATAATACAATACTTTTTGACTTGTTTAAATCACACAATGCATGTAAAGAGAATACATTGTCTTCCTAATACATAAAAAAATGATGTATACTAAATTCCACCTTTTTTATGAGATTGAGTATCCATAATTCATTTCATGTATAAACCATGCATTCTTTTACATTTTTCAAAGAATGAATATTTTGGAATGTTGACCTTCATGTGTCTCTCCCAAGTCAGTATTATGTTGCCAAATCAATATTGCTAACTAGAAGTTAACATTTGGCTAATTCTCAGTATTTTAATAGGTTTGGATAATATAAAAGAATCTGAATAAGGTTTTGATAAAAAAATAGACATTATCCTTTAAGTAATCATGTTGTTTATGAATCTATACATCTACACAATATATAATAGCATCAAGGGGAAAACTATTGCTCCATTTCAAATTTCCTGCAATGAGAGTGAAAATAGGAAGGACATTTTGGTTAGGTAGAGAGACAAACTGATCGGAATAACCTCATCGTCGGTAGAGCCGCTCGATTTGCGACCGACAGTCTCCTCTTCCTTCGCAATGACGTATAAAACCTAATAGTTGAATCTTACTACTCTGATACCATGTAAAATAATCTAAACGCGAAAAATAGATGACACTCGATTTACGTAGTATCCCCGGGAAACCGAGACTAATCCATTGAGAGCAGAGCTCTCATGCTGAAGTTTCACTATGTGATGGAGAGTAAAATTGCAATCCTTGCGTTAGGCTTGCCGAGATCGGCCACAAACCCTTTTATACTCCACAACATGTAACATGGGTAGTAAAGAGAATTACAAAGGAGCCCCAAAACAATACAAAACGGACAGCAAGGTCCAATAAAAATAAGCTATCAGAGCAATCGCAGATGGGAATTGATAGCACCATAGAGCAAGTCCTTTATTTATCCTATTTCCATTTGTTCTTGTATGTCTCTGTTTGTGTGTGTTCTTTTTTTTTTTTTTTTTTTGGATCATGTAGTAGAGCAACAACATGTGATCACATGACCTTATTATTATGAAACCTTCTTGAGAATCGACTGAAGGCAAGAAGTTAGGGATTCGAACAGTGATGGAAACTGAGAAGAAGAGGTAGGATAAGATGAAGATAAAAAAATTGGATGGCTAAACATCGCCCTAGTTTTATTATTATCGTCCTAACTTAAATGATGATTTTACTAAATTATCCTTGATAATAAACTCAAATTAAACAAAACACACCGCCTTAGATTTCTAATTAATCCTACTTCAAACCTCCTCCTCTCCAAACACATTTCACTGAAGGCCTTCTCCCTTCCACTCCGCGGCCGCGATTCCCCAAAATTCCCGGCAAATAAGTCGACACAGTGTTTACACCTAAAATATTTTTGGCTCAAATATTAAATTAATGTGGCATCGCGAGATTAACGATGTCGCGAGCATAGCGGCGTCGCAATTCCAATAGCCTTGAAGATTCAACAACGCCACTGAATGTTGAAATCAAGACGACCGGTGGATATTTGGCATTTGTTTTTATTTCAGTAATCAGTGGTGCATCCGGTCAAATGGCACCGACCCCACCTGCCGCCCCTTCTGTTTTCTATGCAGCGGGGAAAACAACTACCCTCCAGATCCCTAATTCCCTTCGCTTCACAATGGCGAGAAGCCAAACACCATGACCCGCAGCTTTGCAAATCCGGTGTCTGCTTCGCGCCTTCGCAATTCTGACCTCCGCTCCATGCCTCTGCACCAGCGACCGGCGACCAACGAACCAGCGAGCCCTCATTTCACTTCTCAGGCGGCGATTGTTTTTCCATCCCCACGCCTAGCATCTTGCCGGTTATCAGCGCCGAGTTCGGGACGGTGAGGTCTCCGATCTCGGTTAATGCCATTTCGGCTCACCACTCCTATCCTCTCTGTGAGTCCGCCCCAATCGTCCTCCTCTCCGCGAGACCGTGACACCGACTCCGCCCCAACAAGTGCGACCACCGACCAGTGTGGGAAACACTTCCTCTTCTTTCTCTGCCGCTTCCCTCTTATCTCTTTTGGCTCGACGATGAGGATTCTGGTGGCGGCGGCGAGGGTTTGATTGATTGGGGGAGGGAATTATGTCTCCTCCTGCAAAAGTGAAGTGAGGGAGGGGAGCTGAACAACAGCTAGGGGTGGGCAACGGGTAGCGGGTATTTGGGTATACCCGTACCTGCCCTGTTTTTTGCGGGTTACGGGCACAGATATTACCCGTAATATTATTAACGGATGAGACTTGGGATTGTACACTCTTACAATGGGTACCCGCGGGTTACCCGCAAATACCCGTTTGTGTAATATGGGTACCCGTTTTACCCATTCAAAACACAAAAGAAGAAACTAAAAAGCAGAAAGTCGAGCTTCAATTGTCTTCAATTCAGGACCAACAAGGCCAGTTTCCTTTGGCCTTGACGAGTCAGTCACAACATGAGTGACCCAACTCTCCCTCTCCTCGCGACAGGCAGGCGCGGTCACCGCAGCCAACAACAACTCTCCAATTCCAATCGCTCATCCCCCCGCAGCTCTACTCAACTCCGAGTATTTGTGGTTTCAATGCATCTTTGCAAGCCAATACCCACTTGTTGGGATTCAATTCATAGTGTCGATCTCCATTATATTATTAATGCAAATTTTCTTCATCAATTGGGATTCAATGCAGATTTCTGACAGTGAAGCTAGTGTCTGTAACAAGCTTTGGACGGTTCATTGCCATACTTGTTCTGGCGCGATTCTTTGCGAAAGGGGAGGTTCGGCTTCAGGTTGTGGGATAGCTCGATGCATCTTTGCAGCATCTCTCCAATGCAAATCGAATATTTGTGATTGAGATGGATTTTGTAATTCGTATGGATTTTGTGATTGTTAAGTATGTACAACAGTACAAGTTAAATTTAAACTTTTGTTAAAATTTTAGTGATTCAAACTTTGAGTATTTATAGGTAATATGGGTACCCGTTATCCGTCCCGTACGGGTAATGGGTACCCGTTTACCCATACGGGTTTGGGACATGGGATGGACTTTGGCCTCCAAACAGGAATGGGTACCCGTTTCAAACGGGACGGGTATCCTGTCCCGTCCCGTTGCCCACCCCTAACAACAGCGTTTTAGAGTAGGGAGGTAGAAGTCCAGTTTTGGGTTAAAACTGGAGTGGGACCGGGACCGTATAGAAACCAGACCGAGTCAAAATCGGATTGCATCCAATCTCCAATCAATCCGGGCTAGTTTAACCAGACTGGACTGTATAGCCACCCTAATGGCAGGCAGAGATAAAGAACAGGGTTGGGAAGCTTCTTTTGTTTATTGATTTGGTGTTTCTTTGCTCACACACGTTACAAATTCATGGCTTTATATAAGCCTTTTACATACAAAGATCTTAGACATAGTAGCTAGAACCGCCAATATTTTGTGGCCTCTATTTGTTTCTAATTAAACACCAACTAACACATTAATTTGGCCAACTCGTAATTGATATGGGTTGTCGGATATGCTTACTGATTACTTCTCCATCACTTGTTTTTTTTTTTTATAGTTTTAAGTTTAGATTATTTGAGAAGCGTGTAGAATTAACCTTCACACTTATAACAGAAATCTCACATATTCCCAGAGAGGTGCAGATTCAGGATTTTTGCGTATTCTTTGGGGTTCGCTAGACTGCTCGAAGCCGAGAAAGAAAGGGGTGAACGACGGATCTCGAGGTTTTGATTGCCGCCGGCTTGGCTACTGGATTGTAATTGGAGGATGGAGACGAGGAGGGTGGCGTGGAGGCAGCAGCTGAGGATGAGGAGACGTTGAGGGTGGAGGGGAGATGGACTTAGGGAGTAGTGATGGCAAATTGGGAATGGGATGGGGTGGGGTGGGGCGCCGCGGTACCTTAATTCTCATGCGTCGTCCCACGTTATTATGGGTCGGGGTGGGTAAAATCCGTGCGGGTAAGGGGCGGGGTGGGTCAATAATAGAATAGGCAATTGAGTCTAACAAGTTGAAATATTGACTCTAACTAGTTGAATAAAAATCAAAATAGGAGAAATATGTATAGATATCGTAAGAAATTGAGACAAAATGTATCTAGAACGGGGCGGGGGCGGGACAAGGCGGGTCGGAAGTAGATACTCATGTCCCGCCCTACGCTGCTACGGGTCGGGTAGTACCCGCCCCATCGCGGGTCAGGTCAGGTAATACCCACGGGGCGGGTGCAAATTGCCATCACTATTAGGGAGTTGATTCCCCGTAAACCAGAGAGAAGGGAGGAAAGAGATATTGGGTCTGGTTAGAGCTGATAATTTTCGATCCAATCCATCTAGCAAATTATCCACCTAATCCAATCCATTTGATCCAAATCCAAGTGGATTGGTGGATTCATGGATTGATCCATGAATCTAAATTACAAATTACGGTTTAGTACCTATACTTTTTATATTTTACATTTTGGTATCCAAAATTTAATTTTTTATACAAAAATATTATCGGAAAATTATGTTTGGTACCTAAATTTTTTATCATGACATTTTAGTATCCAAACTTTTCAAAATTTACATATTGATCCAAGACTTGGATGTCATTTGGATTCATGAATCAATCCACTAATCCACTTGATCCTATCCATGAATCCACCAGTCCACATGATTCATGGATACACCAATCCATGGATCCAATCCTATTGCCACCTCTAGGTTTGGTGGTTTCTTTAGGTTAGCGAGATAAGGGTTATCGAAAATTTGAAATTAGAGGAATGGGTCTGGGAAGAGCATAGTTTTGTGGGCTCAAAACTGGGCTGAGGTTAGCAAATCGAAATTTAAAATCGAAATCCTGAATTTTGGTTCGGTTTTATTTTGAACCGAGTTGTGATAATAACTAATTGGGATTTCCTACGGTAACTTGAATTTTTTTACCTGCTATAGCAGGTTTCATAGGTCGTATTACGTAAAATACAGTAGGCATTACGTAATGGTTACGTAACATATGATAATCTTACGTAACAGTTGTAAAAGATCATTACGAAGCCTTACGTAATAGAATGTGTCTTTACGTAATGAGTATTAACCTCGCGTTACGTAAAATGCTCAGTCATTACGTAAGAAATAACTGTCGTTCCGTAACCTTTACGAAATGGAAGGTCTTTTTACGTAATGAGTAGTAACCTTGCATTACGTAAAGTGCTAAGTCATTACGGAAGCCTTACGTAACTCTTCAGATTTAACTTTTACGTAAAAAATAACTATCATTCCATAACCTTTATGTAATGAATGTGTATTTTACGTAACAGTTGTAAAATATCATTACGGAAGCCTTACGTAATAAAAGGTCTCTTTACGTAATGAGTATTAACATCGTGTTACGTAAAGAGATAAGTTATTACGGAAGCCTTACGTAACGCTTCTAATTCAATAAGAATTAAACAGGAAAGGTTAAAATATGGAAAGACAACTAAATGTGAAAAAGAAAAGAAAAAAATAAAAAACGTAACTTGGGAATGTGGTGACCGGCAATCCATGTTGCCATTTATTTTTTTTACCTATTTTTTATTTTTACTTCTTTAATTAATGGTGTTGGGGGTGTTACTAAATACTCCACGCGCTGACTAAATAAGGGCTCGCTCAATCGGCAACGTGCTCCGCCCGAACGCCACTACGAAGTATTTAAAGGCATGAAACTCTCCATTGAGAGGGACTTCGGCTCCCTCCTCACTTTCCACTTTCCATGATCTATCTACACTTTATCTCTCTACCTTGTTCTCTCAACTTTGACCTTAAACATAAACTGACTTGATTATTGGAGCTTAATCCGGGGGCAACCCTGGCTCTTTCACAGGTTCTCTCCCTCCCGACGAGATCGGACGAACGGATGACGAGTCAACCCACACCAACAAATATCATTGTTCATACCTCGAACTAGATGGTACAAACAAATGGTTTAAAATAAGTTTCGTCAATTTTAACGATTTAGATCTATGCAAGTTACCTAATTTGAAATCATACCCAAATTATTGTAGGAGATCCCCCTAACTAATAAGCAACAATAAAGCCGAATTCCGACCCGTAAAGCGCCTATTTCCGTTCCAATTTGGTTTGTGTGCAGTTCGATTAGGTAAAACCGAACCTAATGCTAACCCCTAGCTCGAAGGTTGGTGTCATACGGTTTGGACGAAAACCCTGGTGCCTTCGCTGAGAAACTCTCGCTTGCTAATGGATCTTCCATGAGACATGCGAGTTGCGAATTGCGATGTAGAAATGACACTGCCAGCGTTATTTAGTTTGCAGTCATAACCTAGCTGCTTCTTGCTGGAGCGCTGAGGCTAGGAGTGGTCGTATTGTTTGCTTAACGCTTTAAGTTGATACCTACTATTAACCCGTCGATGGCTCATTGGATTGCTTAACGCTTTAAGTTGATATCTACTATTAACCCGTCGATGGCTCATTGGATTAAAAACGACGTGGACAAGTAACTGTAAACCCAAGACTTGAGTTTTCTATTAATCAATGAACATATTTATAATACAAGACAGTAGAGTGCTGCGGTATAGCAGGAGTAAACTAAGGAACTGCCCATAGTGGGCAACGTTCCATTAACAACAACTAACAGCACTAACAGCACTAACAGCAGCAGAGTAACTTCAGGAGCAAGTAGTTCCTCTTCACGCCCCCGCAAGTGAAGGCTCGGAGAGCCGGAACTTGGAACAGAATTTGGTGAAGGACTGACGTGGCAACGGCTTGGTGAGCACATCCGCTAGTTGATCAGGAGCCGGTAAATAGTCGCACCAAGGTTGTCGCACCACAAAGTAGGGGCAGTGGGAATAGATTGACCAAGCTCCTGGAGCAATGTACGCAACCAAAGTACCTCAGAGGCAAGGGTGGCAAGGGCTCGATATTCACATTCTGTGGATGATCTAGCGACGGACTTCTGTTTGCGAGTTGACCAGGACACAAGGTTGGTTCCACAAAAGACTGCGAAACCGGTGATGGATTTGCGATCTTTAGGGCAGGAAGCCCAAGATGCATCGGAATAACCATGAACATGAAGAGAGGCTGATTTGGAGATGACAAGGCCACGGTCCAGAGTGCCCCGAAGGTAACGGAGAACTCGCTTTACAGCAGCCCAATGATTATCCGTTGGTGAGTGTTGGAATTGAGATATATGGTTGACGGCAAAGGAGATGTCTGGGCGAGTGAAGCTGAGATATTGCAGACCCCCGACAATGCTGCGGTAGAGAGCAGGATCAGCAAACAGCGGAGCCGAATCCATGGCAGAATGCTGAATGATGTCAACAGTACAAGGAGTGGATATGACATTGGCATTTGACATCTGAGCACGATCAAGTAGATCCTGAATAAATTTTCGCTGGCGAAGAACAAGACCTGTGGAGGATCGATCAACTTCAATACCGAGGAAGTATGAGAGAGGCCCCATCTCCCGAAGTGCAAAATTATCACGAAGAAAAGCAAACAGCTGCTCAATGATAGAGGCATCATTGCCTGTGATGACAATATCATCAACGTAGACAAGCATATATAATCGAATAGTGCCGGACTTGTAGATGAATAGGGATGGATCGGTTTGTGAGACGGAGAAGCCGAACCGAGAGAGAGCTGCAGCAAGACATTGGAACCACGTTCGTGGAGCTTGGCGGAGTCCGTAGATGGACTTACGAAGGCGACAAACATGGTCTGGCTTATCCGGATCAACAAAACCAGGAGGCTGCTGCATATACACTGTTTCCTGCAACTCACCATGTAAAAATGCGTTAGCAATATCAATCTGGTGGAGCGGCCAACTCTGAGTAACTGCGAGACCAAGAATAAGCCGGAGAGTCGCCGGCTTCAGAACCGGGCTATATGTCTGATGGAAATCCAAACCCGGGATTTGTTCGAACCCTCGAGCGACAAGACGAGCACGACGTCTATCCAGCTGACCAGTGGGATGTAGCTTAGTGCGATAAACCCATTTGTTTGATAGAAGATTGCAATTCGGTGGCCGGGGAACCAAGTCCCAAGTATGATTGCGGAGCTGAGCAGTAACTTCATCAGCCATGGCCGCGCGCCATTGGGGGTGCTTGAGAGCCTGAGTCACAGTTGTGGGGGTATCATCAATATGCAAGTGGGAGAGAAGAGTGCGAGGTTTGAGATGGCCAGTCTTGATTCTAGTGACCATGGGATGATTGGAATTGGTTGGATTAACTACAGGAATAGGGCGAGGGGATGTAGTGAAAGGAGGACGTTTTTGGGGGGGACGACGAGGGGGAAGAGGGGTATGATGAGGTTCGGAAACAGAAGCAGTGGTGGGTTGCGGCGGGACAGTGGAAGGTGGAGCAATGGGGTGTGCGGTGGAACGGCGGCGCTGATACTGGAGAAGCGGCCGAGGGGGAACAGGGGTGGGAATGGCATCGAGAGATGATTGCGACGGGCCGGGTGGGTTTAGAGTAGTGGGTGGATCGGGATTATTGGTAGTCTCAGTAGATAATGGGCTAGGGGAATTTGGAACAGGGGGTTGGGGATTTACGGGGCCGGGGAGATTAAATGGTGATGATGTATTGGGACCAGAGGGAATGGGGGAGAAGGGCCGAGGGTGTATATTGTGGGCTTGGGAAAGGGGTTGGGCCGGGAAGGAGTCGGGAGGCAGGGGAGGCAAAGGAAGAAAAGTGGACAAGGGAGAAGAAGAAGGTAACGTGGGGGCAGTGTGGGCAGAGGCAAATGGGAAGGTATTCTCATCGAACAGGACATGACGACTGATATAGATTCTTCCTGTGGGAATGTGGAGGCAACGGTAACCCTTGTGAAGTTTGCTGTACCCTAGGAAAACGCAGGGAACAGAACGGGGGGATAGTTTGTTTGCAGCGAGTGGGCGAAGCCAAGGATAGCAGAGACACCCAAAAACACGGAGATTAGCTATATCGGGGGATCGATGAAAGAGAAATTGGAAGGGTGAGTCATGATTTAGGAGAGGTTTAGGAGTGCGGTTGATGAGATAACACGCAGTGTCGAAGGCGAGGGGCTAGTATTTTAGAGGAACACTGGCATGATGAAGAAGTGCAAGACCATTATTGACAATATGTCGATGTTTGCGTTCCGCACAACCGTTTTGCTCAGGAGTCTAAGGACAAGAGGATCGATGAGCAATGCCATTTTGAGAGAGATAAGCAGACAAAGCTTGATATTCACCACCCCAATCAGATTGAAATGATTTTATGGGAAGGCCAAAATATTTTTCGACCAGTTGCCGAAATTGAATGAAAACATCAAGCAATTGAGACTTATAACGAACAAAATAGATCCACGAGAATTTGCTGTAATGGTCATAGAATAGGATGTAATAAGATTGCTCATCATAAGACAAAATAGGCGCAGGACCCCATACATCACTACAAACTAACTCAAGAGGCGCAGTGGCATGATAAGTGGACGAAGAAAATGGAATTTTGTGAATTTTGTTAACAGCACAACCGTGACACAAGGAAGAAGGAGAAGGCATAAATTTTATTTGATGTTGACATAGAAGATGTTTAACTGCTCGTTCATGAGCGTGACCAAGACGACGATGCCAAATGTCGAAGGAGGCGGCACAAGCAACAGGAGAGAGACTGCGGGAAATATTAAGAGGAAGAGAATAGAGACCATCCACCGCAAAGCCTCGATGAAGTTCACGCCCCGTGCGTCGATCCTTGATGAGAAATAGAGAATCAAAAAATTCAATGGAAATGGGATTAGAACGAGTAAGAGAGCTGATCGAGAGAAGATTATATGGGGCATTACGCACATGAAGAATATTATCCAACGAAATGGAAGTATTGGATAAAGAAGTAATGGAAGAACCAAGACGAGAGATGGGAAGAGAGTTACCATTGCCAAAAACAACCTGATCGGTCCCATTGTATTCCGAATGATGGGCAAGATTGTCTAAGTCGGATGTGAGATGATGATTGGTGCCCGAATCAAGCAACCATTGTGACGGGTTGAAGGGTTGGGCTGGGGAAGATGAAAACATGGTGTGTGGGCCTGCAGGAGGATGGGCCGAAGTGTGAACAGGCGCAGAAGTAGTGTAGGTAGCATTATGGGCCGAAGTAGGAGCTTGGACTGGGCTTGGACAATAGGGTTTGATGTGGCCACGACCCCCACAATTGTGGCAGATGACACCATTGGGCCTAGGCCCAAGCAACCCACCAGGTGAAGGCGGCCTGTAAACAGTAGACACAGCAGGGGAATTATTGTAAAAACGACCGCGTGATGCTCCACGGCCTCTTCCACGGCCGCCGCGACCGCGATAGCCACCAGCGTGAGAGTAGAAGGCAGTCGGCGCCGGAGATTCGGATCGAGCGGCATAGCGTTGGAGCTGAAGCTCCTCGCTCAGGAGAAGCGAGTGCAGATTCTCAAAGCTAATGGGCTCCATACGAGCCTCGATGTGCCGCACAAAGGGCCGATACTCCTCGCCCAAGCCGTCAAGAATCCAGCCAGTAAGATCGGCAGCGGGAACAGGAGAGCCGAGAGCAGCCAATTGATCAGCTTTAGCCTTCGCATCCTGAAGATAGTCATGAATGGAGGCAGTACCGCGACGAATATGCTGGAGCTCTTTGCTGAGGTGCCGAATTTGTATATGAGATCCAGACGCGTAGATGGTGGCCAGTGCAGTCCAAGCGTCGAAAGCGGTAGCTTTGTTGATGACGTTGGGTAAGACTGCCTCAGAGAGAGAGAAGTTGATCCACGTGAGTACGTATTGATCACGCACATACCACGCCCAATACGCCGGATTGGATTGACCGTCGATGAGTTGCGGCGGAGCAGCAAGAGTACCGTCGACATGCCCCATCAATTGATGACAACGGAGAAGAGGAGTGATCTGAGCATGCCTTGATAAGTAGTTCGTTGGGGTGAGTTTAATAGAGAGCTGGGGATTAGCTGGCAGAGAAATGGAAAGGGTCGGCATAGAAGGGGGGGAGGCTCCGGAGGCAGAGGAAGAAGAAACAGAGGATGAAGAAGATGATTCAGTAGCCATTCTTGGCGTGAATAGAAAGGAAAAAAAAACTGGGCGAAAGAAAGAAGAGAGGATTGACTCGTTAGAGTACTATAGGCTCTGATACCATGTAAACCCAAGACTTGAGTTTTCTATTAATCAATGAACATATTTATAATACAAGACAGTAGAGTGCTGCGGTATAGCAGGAGTAAACTAAGGAACTGCCCATAGTGGGCAACGTTCCATTAACAACAACTAACAGCACTAACAGCACTAACAGCAGCAGAGTAACTTCAGGAGCAAGTAGTTCCTCTTCAGTAACTATTGAACTTCAAAATCTTGAAGATGGAAACTACAGCCAATTTTGTACATGCACGTATCTTCGGCCTCGTTCCCAAGATGAAAGTCGTTTTGTGAAGATTCTGAAAACTATGGAGCTAACGTGGTACGAGATTTAAGTTTCGCCCTAACCGTATCCAGACAAGCTTGAAGATCCTGAAATTCTTGTGTGTCCGAGAAGCTCTCTGACTGGCAAGTTGGAAACACATATATGTTAGTCATTTCTATTCCCCCTGGGAACCAAGAACAGGCACCAGATGACATGAACTTGCCTGTCTAATAGTGTTACTCAAGTGCATCTCAGCTGATGAGAGTTTCGTACAGCTACTTGTTGATGCAGACATGTCCATGTACACTTCGCATAGTTCCACCGAAGCATGGGCAAACTTCTTGAATCGATCGCTATCTTTCCATAGATCAGAGCCCTGGGAAAGAGCATCCAAACTATTATCAGACACCAGAGAAAAGTCCTCCAACCAAGCAATGTACTTTGAAGCCATACAAGGTCATTTCTAGCACCTGTTCCGTCCTAACTCCTAATGAGCGGATTACAAAAAAAAAATACAAAAAAAAAAAAAGAAGAAGAAGAAGAAAGGATTGAGATACCTGATACCCTCTGATTTGCTTCAATAGGGCTTCAGAGCACATAATGGGATCTCCTTTGATTTTATGCCACCTGGCATACAATCCCCAAATCTCCGGTCTGCTCACATTTTTCACCATCTGAATCACAAAGCGAAATGCTTTATTTAATGTCTACAATAGGAGGATGCACAATATGCATCAACTGCAACGAATTAGGTTCTCGAGATGATACCTTCTGTAGAATTTTCCCCAGCAGTTCCAGCAACAGCAAAGTTTCGCTCACATTTCCTTCTGCTTCTGTGCTACAAACAGGGTTGCCACTTTGACTAGTGGGCTCATTCTCATAGCTAGATAAGGGTATCCTTGAACCGATACTTGAATTTCTTCTTTCCATTTCTTCCATGATCCGCACCACTAACTTTACATCGATTCTTTTACCAGTGATATCTGCAACTCTCTGTAGAGCTTCCACGGCCTGCCAAGTAACAATTATTTTCTGCTAGAACAGTCTAATGAAAATGGAATAAGACCCCAGGTCATACGCAAGCAGTCGTTCACAAAAGAGAGAGAGTCGCAATCTTTAACGAGCAATAAGAATCCTATTGAGCCACCCATGTCAACACTGATAGAATGCAGAATGCAGATGAAAGTTAATTCCAAATCCAAACAGGATAGACATAAATTGCAGTAGAGCAGCTTAACAGATGATGATTGAATAACCATAGAGCAAAAGCTACCTTCAATGCAGCGGCACCGAGAGCAAACCAACCATCTGGATTTAAGGAATTCAAGGCCATCGCAGATTCCCTGCGATGTGACCAAACAAATTAGTTAAGAGCTAGGAAGAATCATATAATGGTAGTATAAAAATCAATATAGTCAGCAGACCAAAGCGTTTTAGATTGCTCATACACCCCTCTGTTGTAAGCGCTTCGGGCCAGAGCACGCTGCCGACAGGAAAAGAACAAATAGGCCAGTGGATATTACCAACTTGTTTATATACATGAGATAACTCATTCTGAACAATGAGACTAACCATGGCTCTAGCTGAGTTATAGTTGGAAACCTTAAGAGCCTTTTCATAGCAGCTATCATCATTTGTTACATCACCCAAGGAACACCTGCAAAAGGAATTATACTTCGTGTGAAAGGAACAGCTTTCACATGGTTTTCATACAAAATGGATGTATTGACAAATTACTATGTAGTACCTACGGCCGAAGTTTCTCTTTCTCGCACTTAGCTCATGACATTATGAAAAGAAACAAATGGAGTACAAGTGTTCAACAGTCTTTTTATCAGCCAATAGTTATATGCTATGCAGCAATTGACGCTCATAAAAATAAATTATGATGGAACCAAATTATTATGTCTTGGTAGTTCTAATTAATATTGGTAATTTTGTTATACTAAAGCGTGCTACTTACTTAAAAGTATTGACCGATTATTTTATGGGGACTTTGGTTAATTTAATCTATTTGAAGTCTAGAGGAAGTTTTAACTAAATGTGAATAGGTCCAGGAAACTCACCCCAAAAAGCCAGAGAAAAAGCAAGAGTAACAATGATATTATAATTCTAACTGGCACATGTGGTAAAATTTGGTAAATTCACACTGCACAGCAAACTTGTTAATAATGGAGCAAAGAGGAGGCTTCTTGGGTACTTTGGACAGGTGTCAGAATAGGTAGGATAGTATAGAATTGTATATTGGTAAGCCTATGGCTTAGTATGTGTAATAACTTACCAAAATACTTAACTCACCAAGAACTTAGCATCAATAATACAAATCAAATGAATTCAGCTGCTCACATGAAATCTAATAAGAAAGCAACAAAAATGTAACTTGGAAGAAAAGCAATGCCCTTCATGTACAATTTTCATTTTTCAGGCTACTTCCCCTTGGATATAACACAATCTTCACATACTATCACATGACTTGCTGCAATTCATTAAACGCGTGACAATATTGACAAAAACACAATGTTGATGAAACTTAGAAGTAGAAATTTGGAAGTACAGAGAGAGCATACCATAACCTTGAGTCGTTAGGCATTTCAGAGAGTCGCATCTTAATGAGCTCAACCGCAGCTGTTTTCTGCCCCAGTAAGCTGTTTTTGTGAGGTAGCTCAAATGACACTCATAATTGATCACATCATGGGTAAAAGGAAAACCTCTGTAACCATCTTACCATTTGCACTGTATCAGATTGTCCCATAACTGCAAAGCCTCAAAGATTTTAATTGCCTCCCCTACCAAGCCACAGCTCAAAAGGAGTTCACCATATTCCCTACACAGTCACGAATTAGTTTTGGAAAGCTCTCACAAGCACACAATTGAAACAAAAAAATATTATCAAAATAAGAAATATAATGTCATCCAGGGGGAAGATAACTCACTTTTTTAGAGTTGGAATTGTAGGGAAATTAGCTACATAGCAAAACGGAATCCTCCGTGCCACTCCAGGAAAAGACTTTTCAAGATTCTCGACCTGAAATATGGAATCTGCAACCATGAAATGGCCTCCCAAAAACGTGAATAAGCACTATATAACTGAAAATTTATCAGATGGTTGCATATCTTACCAGCTTTCCCATCATCTCTACTGCGCGAAGTTTAGTGTTGCTACGAGTTGACTCCCAACGTACACGCAAGAGGTTACAAAAAAATTCTAGCTAGATCAAGATAAGCAAGAAACAGTAAGATTGATACATGCAACCTCTGCAAAAACACTATAGTGTCATTAACAAAAGCATATGATAGTTCTTAAACTGTTGACTAGCAGTATAGATAATTAAACTATTGAATTGAAATGTTTTGAAAACTCGTAGTCAATTCAAAGCAAAAAGAACCCTTGAATCGATGGATCAGTTAGTTGCATATTTCAAAGCTCCACAACAGATACTATTGTCCTTAAAATGGATAAAACATTCTTTATGTTGTTCTATTCAAAACAAAACACCGGTTCTGCTCACTTACAGTAAACAATGATGATGGCTGAGAATCAATTGCCTCGACAAATGGAGCAACATCCCATTCTGAAACAGAATTGCAAATGTCAATAACCTAAGAAAGGTGATATCGCAATTACCATGAGACAAGAATCATTAGTGTAATAGGAATGATTAGGCTTCAGCTCGAAGGCAACTTACTTGTCAATTCGTCATGCTGAGAGCCTTTCTGAATCATATAGCAATGGGTCAAGATAACTGCTTGTTGGGTTGGACTTAAAAGAGAAGGACCACATATCTCATCTTGCAGCAACGCGGTTCCAACTTTACATCCCTTATCGAACAATATCGGTTTCTTAAGTATATCACACGATTCAGACTCGTCTGTTTTTTGTGGATCCAAACTATCTTCAACAAGTTTAGACAGTGGATTATATCTCGCCGAGGAACCACCACCACCATTGCTTAATGAGGTTCTGTTCAAAAGAAGCACCCTCTGAGCCGTAGGTTTTACTTGAGGATCATTACGATATCCAAGAACTCCAGTAACGGATAACTGAAGCCCTGCAGCAGCTTCAGCTGAACCGATATGCTTTCTGGTAGTTCAAGAATGCCTCATAAGAAAACACACCAAGAATCATATAAAGGGAAAGAATGCCTACTCAACCAACAGACTAAGCCCATACCTTGCTGAATCAACAAGTCCATAGAGCCGCTGTATAATTCCAGCCTCCAAGTGGGCAACCGAGACAAGAGTAGAAGCTTCTTCACCAAGTAAGTTAGCACCCCAATAGTTTGACACTTTTTCCACGGTGCCAAAATGATTTAGTGTTTCGCTCACAGATACTTGCAACAGATCAAAAAGTAAAGAAGACGGCTGGCTTAAAACTCTCTGTTCAGTAAATAACAGCCTAGAGAGCCACCATGAAGTGCTTCTGACCGCATATGTAGAAGAAACACTTCCTTCACATAACAAATCTTTTGTCTTCATGACCAAAATTTTAGCCAAAACTATATACTGCAGAACAAATGACAAGGGTTAACAATTCCAATCTCAAAAAACACCACTACTCATTACTAACACTTACTCCTAGCATTGTATACATATACATACACACAGGTATACATAAGGAGCACCAACAACAAAAAACTAAGACTCTGAACAAGGAAGTATTCATTCAATTTCCTATCAATACATAAACATCTAAATCTAGATCATCACATAAACATGAATTCTTCATTGTTCAATTAAAAGCTACACCAGTACCAGAAGGTTAGAGCACATCCCATGCAAGTCAGCTCCCTCGGACATAAGCTGGTTCCGTGACCACGTCTCCCAGTCTATCATGTTGCTACCTTCAGCAAATTGGAATGGCAGAGGCGGTGAAGATACCTCATCCAATGGTCTGCATCCAGCGGCACTTTAGAGATTAAAAACAATGAATGAACTGACACATCCAGATTGTCCAATTAAAACCTATCTTTTCAGAACCAGATCACAAGTTAGACTCCAATAAGTTATTGGTTCATGTTTCAGTAGTTCATCCTTATAGATACTATGGTCAATCATTATTTAAAATCCATATCATCAATAATCAGAAGTTCTCACAAAATCTTCTAAAGTGCCTCACAAATCAAACCGTCTGTGGTACTTAATCACAATCTAATCATCCAAATACACAACCCCTAGTACCATGAGTCTACACTGCACAAGTATCACTAATTCACTACTAATAAAAATCATTGACTCCACCATCAAAACTTACAAACCAAACCCCAAATGTGTTCTTATGAACGTTTCCCTAAAATAAGAACCCGTCAAACCCTCGAACCGCCCCGATCCTGACAGTTCATTGGTGGATCACTGAAAACTCTGGGGCTTCACTACTGACCGCTCGAACTAATGTACCGACCTGCTTCTGCCGGACAGCAGTTCTTGGTAATGGACGGTTCAGCTCGGTTCTTATAGTTATAGTAAAGACCAATCCTCATTAGGAAACCTATCCTACGGATTCATTTTCACCGCAAATGTAAACTCTAGCTACACAGACAATCGAATTAAATATGACGTTCCAAACCCTCAAGTCTGAAGGAAATATAGAAATACCCGGTAATATTGGATTGAGTGAAGTAGAAAAGCGCGGCAACGCCAATACACAACACGAAAATCGCTCTGCACGCAATTTCGTCAAAATCGTCGCTACGAATTCCACTCATCACGAACCTTTCAACGTGTGCCAGCAACTTGGAGCAAACCTGATCATCGGCGTCATTCTCATTCTCCTCAGCAACGCCAAGGGAAAGGAGCTCAGTAGCCACATCCAGGGACAGAGCTTGGAGATAGTCGCCGTCCTCGATATAGCTGAGCACTTGATTGATAGATTCGTGTTGCTTGCTGCTAAGAGAAAGAACATCGGACGGTGAAGATTGGCATTGAAATAGAGAATCCATGGATGGAGGACAGTATGTGCAACGAAGGAGACGCAGCTCGTAGCTACGGAGAATCTCCCGCTCCGGATAATGTAGTAGTTCAGAAATAGGAGCTTCCCCCATTTATGGTTTGGTGGAAGAAGAGAAGCTAGAAAGTTTCAGCTTAAAAGCGGTAACGGGTGGGTTTGTTCCTCCTTTACTTTCGCATACAGTGCATTAGGGACTTGCTCGAACTTAATCTGTGTTCAACAAGTAATTACTCCTAATTCCTTTGATTGCAAACAAGTAATTTTGTTGAATTTCATTATGATAGTTTGTTTTATGAGTAATTTGTAACGTGGAAGGCAAGTTAATTAGTGCAATTTGTGGTATGGGTAACCTATAGTGGATCAGGAAGAAATTTACAAAAAATTTGAAATGCATTGCTGGTAAAAATCTTGAAAAGGTGAAAATTCACTCTGTCCCTTTTAGCGACGCCGTTGTTCAAATTCGTTGGTATAACTATTTCCAGATATGTGAACATAATAGGAGAGGATCGGGTGAGTAACTCTCCATAATCCAATCATCCGCGCACTCTGTCGCTTATGTAAAACCTCTAATCTTATTTCCTTTAATTTTTAACTGTCGATTTCTCTTTTGTTTTATGGTATAAAGTTGGTAACGAGATGTATGAAAAAATTTTCTAAAAAAATATTGAAAATGGATCTCATTTTGTATAGCACAACGAACTCGTTTCATCTGTGCAAAAAAAAATTAATATCCAAATTAGAACAAAGAAGAAAAGAGTCGATTAAGAAAACTAGAGAAAATAAAAAAAAATTATTTCTCAGCTCTTTGATATGTGGCCCACTTAAAAAGAAGGACCCATATCTTGTTATGCAAGTTATGCACCACAAGACTTTTTTTTTTTGACAGTGAAAGTGGTAGTTTCATTGATAAAACAAAACAGTGTATAGAGTTGAGTTAAAGTCAATTAAAAGAAAAAAAAAAAGCTACTAAAAACAAGAGAAAACTAAAGCTAGTATTAAGGCAGTCCAAAAAACAAGGGAACTAGATCCAAACATTTGGACTCCCAAGCCCAAACCTAGCCCTAGCCCAAAGAAGCCCAATCACCCAGGGAAGGCCGCCGCTTGCTTCCCCACCACATCTCCTCACTGCTCATCTTCTCCCTGCCAGCAGAAACAGATCCTTCGAAGGTGAATAAAAGAAAATGGAGCGTCGCCGTCGTCATCAAGGAAGGAGTGTCATCTGGTCAGAGAACGAAAGCATAAGGACAAGACGGGGAGAACCAAATTGCCAAGTAGCTCCAAGGTCCACCTGCAAAAAGAAAGTGGAGAAGCAGCCACAGAAACTCGGACAAAAGAGTGGCGAAATCCCAATCGTCGGAACCACCACCGATCTGTGCAACTGGTCAGAGCACAACCACAATAATGACTTCCCTGCTCACAAGCTCTCTGATGCTTTATCCAAGACAACAGAGGCCTGACATATGCAAATCATCCGCAGTTTTAGATGAAACATGTGGAGGTAGATAGAAGAACAGAAAGGAGCAAGCAAACCGAAAAAATCAGCTCCCTCTAACACCCACCAGGAGTCATCACACACAGATTTGGGAACCCAGCTTGGTGGGAAGCAAAAGACTTCTCTACTAAGAGAGGAAGAAAGATTCAATCCCTATTGGGAGGAAAACATACGAAAAACAATACATGCAGCAGACATCTCAACCAAGGAGAGAAAGACGAAAGGGAAAACAACTAAGGAGAAGGAACAGGGAACAAGGAAAAGGGAAGAACCATCAACAAAGAGGAAGAGATTGAAATTTGAGGGCCACCGTCGGTCCCAATTTGGAAGCCGACGGCAACCCCATGGTTAATTTGAAATTTGAAAACTCTTCTCTTTAGAGAGAAGGCAGAGGAAGGATTTGTTCCCTCTTCTGTAGGTGGGATTTCTTTTTTGTTATGCACCACAAGACTATGCACCCTATCTAGAGTCGTTTATAATTGATGCGAAACCTTGCAAGGGCATCCACCAACGGTTAAGATGACTGCTGATGTAGCCATGCAATGGCCTGTTTAGCGACAATTTTGATGAGGTTGTGGAAACCGCTGTCGGGATCTCTAGTGAGTAGTGACGGTTTTAATGATTGCTACAACCTTAAAAAAAAAACCTGTTGTAAACACTTTTCCTTGTAGTGATATCACTATCATATCAAGATTTTATCAATTCATATTTACATCATATTACTATGATATCGTACCACTGTTAGCGGTAATATTGTGACATGAAAGTGATATGATGACCATAAAATAATTTGCTCGAAGAAAATACTAAATGGATATCATCTTGTAGAACACTAAAACTATGATTTTTCGATTCAAATAATTTGAAATCTGATGTAAATGAATACGTTTGTCAAGGACCAATTGATCTCAATAACTCAAGTTGGGAGAGGTTGAATTGTGGATCATATACCATTTTCACTAACACCCCCCCCCCCTCAAACGAAAGTCGTATCATATGGGCTTGAAGTTTGCACAGGTTCGGACACTATGTGCTTAACAAAACAAATGGGAGTTATCGGGATTCGAACAAAAGACCTATCAATCACAGAATACTCTGCTATCATGTCAAGAACCAATTGATCCTAATAACTCGAGTTGTTAGAAGAGTTTCAATTGTGGATCATATAAAATTTTCATTAACAATGGTACGTTTAATTTCACAACCTCCTGAAAATTCTCTCCCAGTTAAGAAAAGAGAAAGAGAACACACAATATTTGGGATGACAACAAAACTAGGGGTGGGCAACGGGAAACGAGTATTTGAGTATACACGTTCCCGTCCCTTTTTTTAGGGTTACGGGTACCCAAATACCCGTAAATTTTTTTACAGAATGGGACTTGGGATCAATAATTTTACATTGGGTACCCTCGGGATACCCGTCAATACCCGTTTGGGTAATATGGGTACCCGTAATACCCATTAGCCAAAAACACAAGCTCCAAAACCATCACACCCGTATCTAAATTCACCTATAATTAAGCTAGATATATTCTAGCCCAACAATTGAGCCATTTTAACGGCCCTAGTTGGGGTTTCTGCACCTTTTTCCCTTTGAATTCGAACAATTTCATTATAAAAAGGAACCTGAGCTAGCAGTTGCTCTCATGAGGCTTTAATCACAAGAACTTAACCCAACTAACCAGACCCTTTACCAGAGCCATGAATATTGTCATTGTTCTATCTTTACTTTTGGAACTCAAAAATTGATACTTCGCACGCTTGAGAAAGGAGTAATGCACCGGTTTTAATCAACATACAGAAGACATAAACCTAAAGGATGATTATAGTTATGTTGGTATGGTTATATTGGTTGTCATGTTAATTTGGTCGATTTAATATGTTTGGGTTACGTTTTTGAAAACCAATTATATTTTTGTCATTTTTGGTATTATATGGGTACCCGTTAACCCGTACAAGTTTGAGAATGGGATAGAATTTTCTCTCCAAATGGGAACGGGTACCCATTTCAAACGGGACGGGTACCCAATCCCGTCCCGTTTCCCACCCCCTAAACAAAACCCGAACCCATGGGTACCCACCCGACCCAACCCGGTCAACATGGGTAAAACTGTAAAACCCGTGTTGACGGGTTTTGGGCCGGGTTCGGGTTTAAACCCGCTACACTATTCACCGGGTCGGATTGGGTTTGGATTTAGGTAAATCCACCCCATGGGTACCCGCCCACACACATATAATTACTTTCCCGGTATATTTAATATTCTAAATAATATATCTTTCTTAAATAACTAATATTCTTTATGTTTGTGGATACATGTATAATTTGTTCTTTCTAATTGTTTATAATGAAGTTGATATTATGAAGTCGAGAGTGAAGAAACTTAGTTAACGAGGAAGAAGCTTTCAATTAATCTTATTGTTTATATATGTTTATCTTTAATTTTGAACAATTTGTATTGATCATTTGCGGTTTGCTTGTATGCTCTAGATTGGTGTTTTTTGTATGATTAATTTGTATGAGAAAATAAACTTTTATTTTGAAAGAAACCTGTTATTGTAAATTTTTTACTACAAAAACCCACGGGTATCCATGAACCCGCGGATACCGAGCGATTTGGGTTGAGTTTGAGTTTTTCAAATCCAAAAGGTTTTACCCCTGATTTTTTTAGCGGATAAATCCATGAATTTTGATTTGGATTTGACTAAACCCACCCCAACCCGACCCATTGTCATCCCTACACAATATACAATGCACTCTCCTGCGAACAAAGCAGAGCTTATTTTTATCAGTGACAAAAATACCCAGTGCATCCATAGCTTTTAGATCTACTGCGCTATCAAACTGAACCATTAATCATGATTTTGCAGGGGTTTAGGTTTTGTATGTGACCCTCTGCCATATGAGATAGTTTGGCTATGCTATAGTTTGTGCAGAAGCACTTTTTGGGTGGAGTTTTTACAAAAGTACTAGCATTGCCCCGATCATTTGGTCGGAGGAAGATGAGGTATGAAATTTGATAATGTAATGAGGTGTATAACTTATCGTTGTATAGTTTTTTTTGGGAAACACGTGATAAAAATAGTGAATTTTAGTAGGAAAAAGACATGAATGATGCAACGAATCAAAAATCAGCCTTACGAACCAAAATCAAGTACCTGTTACCTTGTGAAACAATATTGTTTCTGGTAATATGATGAGGTGGAGTAAATTTTATAGAAACCGAATTCCATAAAATCGAATAAAAAATCGCCTATCCCGCCGGTTTTTGGGAAATGAGCATCTCACAATCGTTGCTAGCTTTTACTCGGCCCGTTGGCCGATTAATTTGCTTTATAAAACTTTCATCTTGTCATCATTGTGCTTTCTGGTTTTTTGCCAAACCATGATAAAATCTAAAGAAATCAAGAATGAACAACACGATTTGGGATAGGAACCACCGTTCCTGTATCCCTAGAAAATGGTGGTAAACACGGACTCACCTGCCAAACTGGTTTGGATTGAGATTTTTATGGTGTATCAGGGAACCATGTGATTATAAATTAGACTTGATCAAAACGGGCCAAAACTTGAAATTCAGCCTATTTGACCGACCCTGCCAAAC